TCTTCTAAGAGTTTTATAGCTTTATCTCTTGCATTTCGGTCTATAATCTCTTTTGTTTATTCATTCTTTAGCTGATGAACACGGATTGCTTCTGCTTCTTGGTTACTGTGATAATGCCGCTATGAACATTTGTGTACCAGTTTTTGTGTGAACATAGGTCTTCATCATTCTTGGGTACATAACTTCTGTGCATGATGTGAGGTGAGGTCCAGCTTCATCCTTTACATATGGATATCTAGTTGTCCCCGCACCACTGGCTGAAAAGACTTTTCTTTTCCATTGCCTGGTCTTGGCAGCCCACCTCTCTTCTCTGCTCCTGTGGCTTTGCACAGCACCACCTTCTTAGTGCTCTTCCCTCCTTGCTGTCCCTTCCTTCCCTGTCTCCTTTGAGCTCCTCTTCCTCCTCAGGCTACCCTCTCTTCTCACTCCAAATGTTCCCCAAGGTGATTTTACCTGCAGCCTGCACACCCAACCCTCTCTCCCTGGATTTTCAGACCGATGCAGGCAACCATCTGTTTGCACCTGCTCTTGGAGATCTCCCAGGGAACCCCACACTCAGCCCATCTGAAACTGACCCAGACCTTTTCCCCCACACTCATTCTCCTAGTTCTCCGAGACACAGATGCCAAGACAGAAACAGATGACAGAAACACCTGTTTAGATAAAGGAGAGGGGAGCAGGAGGAGGGAGGAAGAACGTCCTACACATTGCAGGCCTGACATCTGTGAAGGAAGAGAGGAAAGGAGAGACTGGATAGGAAAAGCCTCATGCTGCAGGGCGGCTCTGAGAAACTTGCCCAGGGTGATGGGAGGCTCTGGTGCAAAGCTTGCCCATTAGAAGAGTTCCGTGTTAGTCAGGAATGGCCCTGCTCCCATGTGCCCAGGGAGCTCAGGGACTGTGTGCACCAGTGCTCCCTCATGTGTAGCCGCTGGAGACAGGCAGCCAGCCACACCCCTCCTGGCATGTCCACTCTTCGAAGGAGACCTAAGCACACACTTCCTCCCGCCAGGTCTCCTCCCGTCAGTTCTCCTCCCAGCAAATGCATTTCACCCACCGGAATCGAGGTGCCTCCCCTCAGCCCCAGCAGCCATTCTGCCCAGCCTGCCTCCTAAGCATAGCTTCTATCCAGGCTCCCTCCCTCCATCCTAACTGCATCTACCTTAACCTAAGTCAGCTTTATCTTTTGCTGGAAAACAGCTGCTGTACTGTAACACCTTGCCCTGCCCCTGGGCCTGCCTCCTGGCCCTCCACCCCTCCAGCCCTCCAATCCATCCTCTTAAAAGTAAAGATCAACCAAATAGCAAACCTGGAGGTCTTGCCTTTCTTGTCCCCCATGTGGAGTAATGAAAGACCCCACCCATCACCTCTGGAGAGCCATTCCTGCCCTCTATGACTGGGTGGGCACCTGCCTACCTTTTCCCAGTGCCCCATGCATGCCACCCCCTCACCCACCCCCACCACGGCCTTTGCTGTCACACATCCTACACTCTGGCCCCACTGGGTCACTCACATTCCCTGGACTCAGGCTCATGCTCTTCCCTGCTCCTCAAATTCCCTGACTCAGGGCCTATTTAGATCCTATTCACCCTTTAACCTCGTCCAAATGATGACATCCCCAGCTGCCTTCCCAAGCCCGCCCAATCTTATTCTTACTCTGGGCTCCAAGATTTTTTTTTTTTTTTTTTTTTAGACAGAGTCTCGCTCTGTTGCCCAGGCTGGAGTGCAATGGCACGATCTTGGCTCACTCCAACTTCTACCTCCCAGGTTCAAGCAATTCTCTGCCTCAGCCACCTGAGTAACTGAAATGACAGGCACACACCACCACACCTGGCTAATTTTTGTATTTTTAGTAGAGACGGGGTTTCACCATCTTGGCCAAGCTGGTCTTGAACTCCTGACCTCGTGATCCACCTGCCTCGGCCTCCCAAAGTGCTGGGATTACAGGCGTGAGCCACCGCGCCCAGCCCTTTCTCTTTTATTCCACTGGAATGCTTTCTCTGGCATGAGGTCAAATGTGCTATGCCTGGGTGTGGATGCCAAAAGTCACTCCTGTTTTTTCCCAGACTGCAATCAAATTATTCATCCATCTGAGCTGGCAGGAAAGCAATCTGATTAATGTGGTTGCTCACAAAATAGAAAAAGCATGCCAGGCAAGAGCACCTGGCAATGGGTCAGGACACGTGCCCAGAGAGGGAGGGGGGATGGGGCTTCAGACACTCTTTAAGGACTTTGCAGCTTTCCTCTGAAACATGCTAGACAAAGTCCTGCAGGTCACACCTTGTGCAGCAGCTCCTAGGGCAGTGTAAGTAGTGCAAAGAGCTCACATTGCTGTCCTCCCCGTGGAAAGCTCTGGACTCACCGTGAAGCACAGCAGACATGGCTGTCATTCTCCATATCCTAGCACCTTGAGCAAGAGGAAAGCCCACATGGGAGAGATCTGGGCATCTAAGGCATTTTACCTGAAAGGTGACTTAACAATCCTGTCTGGCCTGCTGTACTGCAGAATGACAGTGAGACGAGGTGCTGCAGGAAAGAAACACGAGCTGCTCTCTCAGGCTTTGTCATTGTGGTAGACCTCGGAATACCCTGTCTAGGTACAGGACAATCCCTGACCCGCGCTGGATTCTGAGTCCCTCCTCCCACCGCAGAAGCCAGAGATCTTGCGAGGAAGGCACGAGGTGCAGGCAGGTGATTCAGGTGCTGCCTGCCAGTCAAGAGTACACAGCAGACTTCGAATCACAGCATAGTCTCTTCCAGAACACGCCTGCAGTGGCTTTGAGCTCCACTCCAGTGTACAGCATCTCCCAGCCTGATTCCCTGTCCTCCTATGGAGTCTGGGGACACCTCCAAATCCTTTTCCCCTTTAACTGGCTATAGTTGCTTTCTGTTGTTTGTTCCCAAGAGCACAGACTGATATATCTTCTTTGAGGGGGAAAATATGAAATCAGAAATACAAATTTCTCGTTTAAGAAGATTGTTAGCTTTCCCCAAAATGTTTGATTATGAACATTTTCAAGCTTTGAACATACAGAAACATTGGAAGGATTTTGAAGCAGACACCCACATGCCCACTCCCTGGGCTGGACAGCTTGCAGGCCACCACGATTCACCACACAGCCAGCTGGTCACCATCGCTCTACCAATCACCCATCTGATTTTTAAAAATTAGCTTTTCATCAGCAAACGGTATTTCTAGTTTGATCTGTTAGGCTAAGAATAAAAGTTCCAAATCAGGTCACATTTTCTAGATGGTTTTCTTTTTAACCTTGTAAGCTACCAAGAGCAAAAACAAAGGCCAGAACACCGAAACAGACTAGAGAACTTGCCTTTATTATAAAGTACACCTTTGGACTTGTGTTTTTTCCCCAAAGCTTGTGCATCATCGTCTGGGATAACTGCATAAAATGATAGTACGATTTCCTGGTGAGAGGCAGTGTGTTCTAGGTAAGAGCAGAGCTGGATCCACTGCCTCACTGCGTCCCTGCTCTGTCCACACGGGCAGCTCACGCAAAGGCAGGGTGATCTTGTGGGTGAAATGGGTGGATTGGTGTCAAGCATGTGAAACAGCACCTGGCACATAGGAAACGCTCTGTAAGGTTCCTGGGGAGATTCACAACAGTTCATAAACTGATCTATTGATGACAATGAATGGGCAGGAGCTTTATTCTCTTTGGGTCGCTTATTTTCTAGATTCCTAAAAGCCTCATTCGAACACCTAGTGTTTAGATAAACCATTTCAAAAACACTTGCTTTTCTACTTGAGTCACTAGTTCATGAAGCGCTTCTTGTGGTTTGCTGAAACCTAAGTCGGAGGCACAGCTTTTTGTTCTGCTTTGATGGATTGTGAGGAGATAAGGCTGCAGAGGTAGGCTGGGGCAGGGTCACTGAGGACTTTGAATGTCAGTGTAAGGAGCCTCTCTCCTAAGGGTAAAGGGACCACTTGTCTTTCAGCATATTTGACACTAGCAGCTGTAATAAGCACACATATGAGTACATGTACACACACACTACACGAGCACACATAGGCACATGCACAAATCACATATGTGGCTTAACACAACTTTCTTTCTCCCTTGTACAAAGCCCACTGTGGATATTGCAAGTTGGGACACTATTCTACAAGTGAGGATTCAGGGATCCCTGCTCCTTCCATCTTGGGAGCTCCTCCTCACTCCCACCTCTGGCTCCAGCGGAGTTCCTGCTGTGGATGTGGTCTTTCCACCCACTACACCGGCCTTGGGCAGAGCCTGGCACAACTGGGATCCTCACTAGGACTACATTGCTGGGCTGCAGACTGCTCCAGAGTCCCACAGAAACTCCTAAGTCCCTGAAAAGATGAGCCCCTGACTGTGCTGTCAGCTCCAAGCAGCCTTTGTCAATCTCTCAATCCCCATGGATACTGGGAAAATCTAGTGATGTGTTCAGAACTCAGAGCGGTCTCTGGCTGCTGCTTTTTGTGGAAGACAGGATCCCTGAGTGGGAGGGCCAGACACCCTGGTTCCCCTGGCTGCAAGCAGCTGGTGGATCTGGACGCTCTAAAGTTGCCCTGGTCTGCATGGCCTGCCTCATCCTCTCGCGTGTCACTGTCTCACTGTGATGATGGGTCTCACTCGCTTCGCAGAGCAGTGGCTTTCCAACACTAGCCAGCACTAGAGTTGCGCGTGGACTTGTCAGGACGCAGATTGCTAGGCTCCACTCCGAGTGTCTGATTCCAGAGTGAGGACTGTAAACTTGCCTTTCTAACGAGTTCCCAGCATTTTTGATGCTGCTGCTCTTGAGACCACACTTTGAAAACCGTCTCCCTAGAAAGTGTGATCCCTCCGCAGGAAAGAACCAGGGCTATTTTTGCTTCAAAATCATCCGCCTTGCGCGCCCTGTTCAGTGCCTGAGACGTGGTGAATAAACCAATCAGGATGAAAAAAAGGAGCCGGCCCAAGGGCGGAGTGATGAACCTCAGAGGAAGAAACCTGCGTTCACCAGGTGCGGGCCTGGGCCAGGCGCAGTCCTGGCGGCGTCAGGGGGCACACCGCGACGGGAGCTCAGACCTAGCAGCAGGGCCGCGCACCCTCCCTGTCCCGTGGCCCGCAGGCCCTGCCTCCACGCGCCCAGCCTCAGCGGCCTTTGTGGTGTCACAGCCGGCCTGAAGAATGGTTGCCTTGGAGACGTAAACCCAAGAGCCCAGTTCCTGGAGCTGAGAACTGCCGCGCGGACGCTTCAGAGGGAGCTGGGGCGGTCAGGGCAGGTGAGTGCGCGTGAGGCCGGGGAAGAAGGGGCGGGCGGGTTCCGTGAGGGCGCGTGGGGGCGGGGGCAGTGATTCGAGACCAGGGCCAAAGGGGCGCGCATGGCCGGGAGCATACCTCTCTGGCGCCCCTTGCAAGGCTCCCTGCCCTCTGCTCGTATGCCACTTGCCTGACACACACCCATCTACCATCCACCTCTCTGTCCTACCATCCCTGTGCACCTTCCTGTGTGCACGGAGGTTGGAGGACGCTGGCAGAGTATGGGTGTTAGGAGACGACCCTGCGAACCCCAGGCTCACCCAATTAGGGGGCTGTCGCAGGAATGCGGCTGGAATGGCAAAAGCCTAGAGTGGGAGAACCCTGGGCCCCTTCCAGAGGCAGCCCCTCCTGACTGTGACTTTGGGCACCTTGCTGAATCTCTGTTTTCTCCCTTGCAAAAATGAAATGAAGTTAAGGAGTGCCAAGGGCGTGTCAGGACCTTGGATGAGCAGAAAACAACCCCTGTTCTCATGGAGCTCACATTTTAGAGAGAAATAGACAATGAACAGATTTTTTAAGTGATAATCAGTTAATGGGAATTGCAGAGAAGAAAATAAAGGTCACACAGGTGTGGGGAGGAAGAAATCACTTTGGATGGGATGGTGAGAGGTCTCTCTAAAGAGGTTGACATTTGAGCTCAGAATTGAAGAGAAGGGAGCCCACCACCCCCAGCTGGGTATGGGAGAATATATTTTGGCTGAGGAGGCCGAAAATGCAAAGGCTTAAAGCCAAGATCGATATGTTATAAGAAACAGAAGAAGTAGGCAGCTAGAGCCAGGTCCAGGAGGGGAGAGTGGACCCTCGGGTGGAAGAGGCAGGCGTCCCCACACAATAATCCCCCACAAATGCTGGTGTCAGCTACCCAGGGCAAGGGAGCTCTGGGCTTTGGGACCACCTGGCTGAAGCTCTGTGTCACTCCCCAGGTGAGGATATCCTTTAGAAGAGGAGGAGCCTTGCATCAATCCCCTGGGCCTCAGCTAGGATGTCTGAGATACCATCCACTATGGTCTCCAAGAACAAGACCAATGACAGTAAGTGCCGGGCCAGGGTGGGTGCTCTCGGAGGTGAGAGGCAGCCTCGGAGAGGCTCCCTCATGGGTTAAGGTGGCTCTAAACCAAGCACTAGGCAGGAGTCACAGATCTGCCCTCTTCCCTTGAGACAATGTGTATGGGTTCCCTGCAGCTGCTGTAACAAAGCACCAAACTGGAAGACTGGAGCCACAGACATTTGTTTTCTCAAGCTCTGGGGGCTGGATGTCTGATACCAGGTTTTCCATAAAGCTGGGTCCTTCCAAAGGCTCTGAGGGCGAGCCTATTCCAGGACTCCCTCCTGGCTTCCGGTGCCTTGCAGGCAATCCTTGGTGTTCCTTGGCCTGTGGAAGTGTCACTCTTATCCCAGTCTTCCTGCCCATATGGTATTCTCCCTGTGTGTGTCTGTGTCCAACTTTCCCTGTTTTACAGGGACCCCATCACGTTGGACTGGAGGCCCACCCCACTCCAGAATGGCCTCAGCTTAGTGAATTACAGCTGCAAAGACCTTATTTCTGAACAAGGTCACATTCTAAGACAGTAGGTGTTGGGACTTAGACATATGAATTGGGGTGACGCAATTCAACACACAACAGACCATGAGCAAGGTGTTACCGTGAAGGTGAGCTTCTCTCAGAACCCCTCTGACTACAAATGCCAGGGGGGCCCAAGGATGTGGCTAGCTGGCACTAAGCCCTGGTTGAAACATGCCTGCCTTAGTGGAATTGGATGCATCCTCCAGGATCTCACACGGGGCGGTGCTGAGGGAGACTGCCCGGACCCATCTGGGGCCCTTTGGCTTTTCTATTGGAATTTAATTTGGTTTTGACCTGGCAGAGTATTCCACGGTTCAAAATTCAATAGTGTGTTAAAAGCCCCTCATTGTGAAAAGCCCCTCCCACCCTGTCAAAGACACACAGTGTCCCCTCCTTAGAGGTGGCCAGTGTCACCTGTCTCTTCTAGGCTACCAGCTCGGTGCACATACGGGCAAGTGTGTGTGGATGGGGCTTGTTCTTTTCTTACATGGAGGCCACACAATGAAAACCCTGTCCGTACCTTAATTTTTTAAAATGCCCATACATTATGGAGACTGTTAGTTAAGAATACATTAAGAATACCCTCATACTTTTTGTGCTTTTGAGCAGAATAGTAATCTTTCAGCGTGGCTATATCATAATTTATTAACCAATTCCCTGTGATTAGCTTGTTTCAGAAAGTGTGCTGCTATAAACGGTGATCCCCACCTTACACTTACAGAAGCAAACGCTCTCTCATTCTCTTTTTTTTGCTCCAGAGTAAATTTTAAAATGGAGAAAGGCTAGAATAGGGTTTAAAAAAGAAAGAAAGAAAGATAGCTTCGGCCAGGCTCAGCGGCTCATGTCTGTAATGTCAGCACTTTGGGAGGCTGAGGCTGGCAGATCATCTGAGGTCAGGAGTTTGAGACCAGCCTGGCTAATATGGTGAAACCCCATCTCTACTAAAAATACAAAAATTAGCCGGCTGTGGTGGTGGGTACCTGTAGTCCCATATGCTTGGGAGGCTGAGGTAGGAGAATTGCTTGAGCCTGGGAGGCAGAGATTGCAGTGAGTCGAGGTCACACCATTGCATTCTAGCCTGGGCAACAGAGCGAGACTCCATCTCAAAAAAAGAAAAAAAAGGATAGCTTTGAAATGTTTATAGATAACAAATTACTCTCAATATGCCCATAAAACAATGCAGATAATTGTGCTACTGAAGGACAGTTGAAGGACGGGTACACTATATTGATTTGTTTATTGGTATGGGGGGAGTGCCTAGCTGGGGTACCCTGTGACCCTATGGCTTGGTAGTCCCTCGAGATTGGTTGAGGGCCCGTGCATTTGTGAGAAAACCAGGCCAGACAGGCAGAGCTGGGATCCGCAGCCAGGGCTGGGGGCGCAGAGTCAGGCGGGTCAGGGAGGTTGGCATGGGCAAGGTGGGCAAGGGGCCTGTCCAGAGACTCCAGTCAGGGGTACTGCGGCACCCTGTGTCCTGAAGTTAGTTGCAGGAGCTGGGACAAAGGTAGGGGCCAGGATGACATTGAGCCACCTGAAGTGAGAGGATTGGGGATGCTGAACCAAGTACATATAGGACCCCAGCCTCAGCCAGAGGGCCCAGGGCAGGGACGTGGAGGCCAAGTGGGGAGAGAGCATTCTAAGGGGCCAGTCACACCCAAAGGCCCTGAGGTAGGAGTGAGTGTGGCGTGTTTAAGGGAGAGATAGGAGGCCAGCATGGACCCATTGGGTAGGGCCTGTGGCCCAGGAGGGCTATTGGGTGAGCTCTGCCCAGATGATGGGAAGGATTTAAGAGGGAGACTGCCCAGTGTCTAGCTTTATGACTTTTGTGATGAGGATGCTATTCGCCAAGCCTCAGCAGAGGGGCTGGTTTAACCACAGCCTCCCTCGAGACCTTGAGCAAGGCCTCTTCCCTGAAGTAGAGGACGGAGGGCACCTGATGAAAACCTTGGCCAGGCTGAAGAGTCAGGGAAAGCCAGAGTGGACCGCAGGCCTCCCCATTAGGGTGGGCAGGGGTGGGGACTACAGGAGCGCCCAGAGCTCTGGCTCCATACCATCAGCACCTAGCCCAGTGCGGGGCTAGTTCCAGGAGAGGGGCCTGTAGCTGGTCCCTCTGGGCCAGAACCCTGCCTGAGTCTCACTGGAGGTGTGAGGGGCTTGTTCCTTGAGCAGCCAAATATATTTCCCAAGACACCAGGCTCCGGGTACAAGATTCCAAGAGGAACAGGTTGGGAGAGGCTTGCCCCTGCTGAAGGAGGCTTGTGCGTATCAGGCCATGATACACTCCAGGTTTTTGCTGCTGCCTCTCAAGTCCATGTTCCCTATGCTGGGAGCATCCAGAAAGGGCATGGAGTTGCTAAAGTCACAGATGGCCAGGCCATCCCCCTGCCAGTTCTGGCTATGAGGGATAGGAAGGGCTGGAGGCAGGAGTTTCATTTGGCAATGTGATGAAACACGGTCTTCAGTAATCTAGCCTTCATCTTGGGCCATCTATAAAGCCCAACCTGGTGGCCTTGGGGGCAGAGTGCATCATCCACACATGCAGCCCACATCAGGCCACTCAGGGACCCACGATCATTTCACTGATATTTATGGATTTTACTTACCATGTGTCAGGCACTGTGCTGGGCTGGGGCACAGAGGCCGATGAGATGGAGGCACCTGTGGTCTGAGCATTTAGGAGAGTATAGCAAACAGCTCTCCCCTTCACTGTCTCCATTCATTCCTGCAGCCCTGGCTAGGCCAGACCTGGCTCACTCCCACTCAGTGTCTTGGCACTGCTGTGTCCTCCACAGGGAATGTTCTTCTCCTGGATTTCCCTGGGGCTCACTTCCTCACACCCCACAGGAGCTCACTCAAATGTCAGCTCCACATTTGAGTGAGCTCCTGTGAGCCTCCCCTAAACAAGGTAATATGAAGCGCCCCGCCTGCCCTACATCCCTCATTGCTGTTCCCTCTTTCGTTTTCTCAGTGGCACGTTCTACTCTCTGGCCTCTCAACCTTTCCTCACTTGTGTTGCTTATTATCTTGCTCCCATGCAGCAGGGGCATTTGTCCTCCCAGAGCCTGGTACATCACAGTTCTCAGTCAAAACCTGTTAGCCTGCAAGCTCTCCCTCTAAGATCAGGAGCAAAACAATGATGCCCTCCTTCACCACTGTGGTTCAACACTGCACTAGAAGTTCTAGCCAGGGTAATTAGGCAAGGAAAAGAAAAAAAGAAGTAAAAGATCCAGATTGAAAAGGAGGAAGTAAAACTATTCACAGATGACACAATCCTCTATATAGAAAATCCCAAAGAATCCACAAGAAAGTTACTAGAGCAAATGAATGAGCTCAGCAAAGTTGCAGGTTACAAAACCAACACAGAAAAACCAGTTTGTCTCTGTGCCCCAGCAATGAACAGCCCATAAGGGAAGTGGAGCAAGCAACTCATTGACAATGGGGGTGACATCATGGCAGAGTAGGAAGCTCCAGAAATCCCTACCCTGAAACAATTTTGCTGGCGTGAATTATCAGAAGCAACTATTCAGAAACTCTGGAGTTTAGTGAACGCTTGCAACTTGCAGGGAAGATCTTGATGAGGAGGCTGGGAAATTTTAGTGAATTTTTAGCATTTCCTGGAGCAGCTGTACCAGCCTCCAGCCCACAGCAGGAAGAAGGTGGCCTACGTTCCTGGTACAGCTTGCTTGGTGACAGGGTGGGCAGTAAGGATCTTGTCCTCCAAAAATCGATCTATGTGTTTGATTGCTGACCACAGCCTGCTTCTGAGGGGCTGGCTCAGCAAATGGGCATTGTTCCAACCCCACAGCTTAAAGCAACCGCCTGGCCCTGTCGGTCAAGGGCTACTGTCCTTCTCCGCCTACACCAAGCTTGAGAGAGCCAGACTTTTATCTGAGATTAGCTCATGTTTAGAAATCTTTGACAAAGGACTGATATCAAGAATATAGAATGAACTCCTAACACCCAACAACAACAAAAAGCAAACAACCAAATTCAAAAATGGGCAAAGGACTTGAATAGATAATTCTCAAAAGCAGATATGCAGATGACCTACAAGCAGGAGGAAAGGTACTCAACATCATTAGTCATTAAGGGAATGTAAATCAAAACCAAAATGAGATACCATCTCACACCCATTAGGATGGCTACTATCCAAAAATATAAAAAATAGCAGTGTTGGAAACAGATGCTTGGTGCTGCAAAGAAAACTCAGCAGTGAGACAAAGGATCTCTCAGCAAAGCACTTTTTACTTCCTGCAGGAAGGGCACCCTCGATAGCCATCTTGCTACGAGAGTACAACGAACAAAGGAAAAGCAGACGTATTTATCCTTTACGCATTTGGGGTTGTCCTTACTGCTGTGTCTGATCTCTATTGGTTAGAGCCAGACCTCACAATCTAAACTAAAAACCTGATTGGCTAATAGCTTAAAACGTTTTTAAACAGGTAAGGGGCTGCAAGCTGGGACATG